ACAGTTTGCTGCACCTTTAAGCATGTTCCCTAACAAGAGGCGGTGATTTACTGAGGTGATAAGCTGTAACTAATACTAGGGTATCATAATAGGTAAATAGATTAGCACCACGCTTCTCTGTATTTTGCTTTCTAGGGAGCCCACTGGCTCATTCACTCGGAGATGCTTACTACAGCACTTCGCACTGCGCCGAGTTAAATCAGTCAGTTACAGGACTGCAGCTATCGGTGCTGGTGTGGATGCAGCTAATGAAATGCATTAGGGAATCTATGGGGTAGCACTGATTGCTTAGCCTGTTTGCCTTCCCTTTTCTGTTCCCTGGCCCAAAAGGGATTGTAATGGGCTGTACCAATATTTGATGCTATGGCTATAAACCATCCTTTGAGCTGTGTCATCAGCATCCATTGAGTAATTGTTGCAAGTACGCCGGCATCATTTGTCGCTGAGAAGGAAGAAGCGGCACGGGCAGCCTGGGCGTGATCCATGGCTTCCCCCAGCTCGAGCTCCTTGGGTTTCCTGACGGAAGGACCTGGCGCTTCCGCAGCAGTTGTGGTGCTACTGCCGGGCGATGGATGCACATGGCTCTGGGGCACAGGAAGGTGCCACGGAGAGGGCGGCGGAGGTCTTTGTTTCCATACTGCCTGGCAGGTTTTCGGCACAAAAGGGCCCTCGCAGGAAAGGAGCAGTACCGGGGGATGTGGCCAGTCCTAATAATTGTGTCACAAATCTTGTGATATTTGGCACGTTCTTAAAGACCTGGCTCCTAGAGGCGGGGGATTAAATAACAATTGCTTCCTTTCTCTTTCAAGCAAGGCTTAGCTCTGTGGTTGCAGAGAAATGCTTGAAATGTAGCTGGGGCTGAAGGGGGAAAAAATAAACCTTTCCCTTCCCGCTCTTACGATGTCTTACGATTTTTTTCAATGAAAGTGTTTAAAACTATTGGAGGCATCCAGAAGGCCATAAAGTGTGGACAACTCTGGGTGTGTGGGAGTATTTATGAGTATTTTAAGGAGAGGTCGGTCACACTCTGTGATGAGACGCACTCTTGCAACTTCTAGTCCTCTTCAGAGAAAGGAGAAACAAAAATGGGGCTGGGTGGCAGCAAGCTGAGTATCTCTGAATGGGTTTTTTCTCTCACTTCCTTAGGGAAACCCCTTGGGCTACTCATAATTGAAATTTCTCTTATTTTTAAATCTTTCTGGTTTTGTCTATTTCACAAATGTGAAAACCGAGGCTGCTCATTTCTGTGTTGGTTTCTTAACACAGTCGTCGTTAGCAAATCGGTATTGATTTATTCCTATGAAAATACATCACCGCTTAAAGTAAAATGCAATCCCATTAAGAATGATACAGGTTTTGCAAATGGAGAAAAGTAGGTCAAATATTGCACCAATCATCCCAGAGTTTGTCCCTTTAAGCCAAATAAATGTGTGAATACACTTAAACTGTCAGCACGTCATTTGATTGCCATTATTATGCATCTTTTGGCACGAGCTGGCAGAGCCCTCTGTGACTGAACAGGGGTTGAAAGTGTCAATTCTGGTGTGTTAACCAGGTTGTATGTTACACCTGGGCTGCGTGTGTGTGGGTGCGTGTTTAAGGATTTTTCCTTTTCCCCCATTGCAACAGTTGACTTCAACTTAAGCAGGAAAGCCACATCATTATATGCAAGGGACATTGTAGCAATGCAGCACAGGAACACGATTTAAATCTGATCATTAAACTGCCGCAGCAAGAGGCTGCGAGAGACGGTGTGGATGGTCCATCTGCAAAATCTGTGCTCCTGTTGTACAAGGAGGAGGGGCGGAGGGGGGAGAAAAAGCAGCTGCTTGGCTGTGCTATGAGAGGGAAAGACTGACTGTTGGCACCATCTGTAGCTGTCCTTTGTGCTTGCTGCTTTATCTGTTCATTATAGTATGATACTGAATTTCTCGTGCTTTGAGTGTAAATGAGTTGAGATGCGCCTAATACTGTCAGCATAAAAAGCAGTAACTAAGTACACTAAAGATGAATAGTGTAATCTGTAAATTCATTTTGAGTTTGTTTCATCTTGCTTGAATAGCCCAGGAAGTGATGTTCTCCAGAAGCCAGCTGTACCAGATGTGCGTGTGGGGTATATATTCATCTCACCAAGCGGAGAGGAGAGCAGTGGAGGTGGATGGGGCAGGGATAGGGGAGGCCGCCCCAGCGTTTCCAGCAGAGGAGAGCAGACACCTTTAGAGGGTTGTTGCTCCTGCTGAGCCGTATAAAGGGGGACTGGTAACTCCTAAGGCAGCTACAAGCAGCTCTGTTTTCATTCCCTGCACAAACACCGACTCTGGGAAGAGAGCAATTGTTACACATGGTACGTGAGTCAAAATGTCCCAGGGAGGAAAGGTTAAACCTCTCCGTAGTGAGTGCTGTGATAGGGATGAGTAAATTTGTTACGTTTTATACCTGCAGTCTCCTAGTTTCTGAAAACATGAGTCCTCTCCAGATAACTTGTAGAACGAAACCGTTGAGCCTATCTTGAGGACCTCTTTGTTCTTTGGTGGTTTACATTTCACCTTTATTAATGTGTGTATTGGATATTGGTAATAATAATAATTCATTACGATCTTTTCTTATCTTCACCTCGCCAGAGCAATGCTATCTCATTGGCATATTACTTTTCTGGGAGTTACTCTGCTTTTTTTTCCAAGCAGGTTTGGCTTTTGTTTGCAGATTCATGCCCTCAGACCCATCGGGTTGTTGCTTTTTATCTTATTTGTCAAGTGCGTATAGGTGTGCAGAAGGAGCAGCTCCCTCCTCCCATCAAAGCCTCATTTAAGATGGACGATTTCCATTTGACACCGTAGTAATTACACTCGGCTGTGGAAGTGCTCAGCATCCACTATTACTCTGCGACGGCTGCGTTTAGCGTTCGGCAGAACACTTTGTTCGTGTTTCTCAGAGCTCAAGTGGCCGTGATACGTGGGAAGAAACCCTGCAAGGCAGGGATTTGTATCTCCAGGCGGCTGGAAAAGGGGGAGGGGGGCCTTTGTCACTGGCACATTAGTAATGATATACCAGGGATAAAAGGTGAGTATAATTTGATCAAATGCTTGTTGACAGTTTCCTTGGCTAATAGAGAAGCAGCTTAGACTGACACTCGTTGCTGGAACATTTCACAGAGCTCGGGGGAATGCTTTCTGTAGGCTACATGTGAGGCTGACAATTTCCGAGTGACCATATTTAGTTACATAAAGAAGCGGTGTCCCCTTTTTGTCACAGCAGAGCTCTAAAATGCCTCCCTAAACACCGCTCTTGACCTTCCGCTTGATAAATGCAATGAAATTGCTACCTCTCCTTTGTCCAAATGTGTGATTAATTCACAGGAATGGCCTGGGCTTTATGTGTTTTTCTTGTGTGGCTGTTAAACTTGAGAAATTCCAGTTGTTTCTCATGCTGAAAAATCATATTTGTGGGTGTTCTTGGCAAAGCAGATTTCTTTTTTTCCCCTACAAATAGGACTTTACAATTAGTCTCTTCAGAATTTGTTCTACTAAGTATGTGTTAACAGTACCTGTGAGTAGCTACTGGAAAAAGAAGGTGATGTACCCTGAAATGATAGTTTGCAACTGCTTATGATTATGTTATTTGGTGAAAAGATCCATTAGAAAAATAAGAAATGAGAATAAAAGCCTCAATTTTAAAGAATTCTGCACTTGTGTCTTTTAAACCAGTAAGCCTAAAATTACACGTAGAGCTCTCCTACTCCAAACCGCTGTGGCAGCTTGGCTTTTGAGTAGTCTTCTGGTTCTCACCTACTTGTGCAATCTGTTGATTTGTGTTCAGTTCACAACACCTCAGGAAAGCACTTAGTTAAAAATTAAATATGAAGCATTTTCTTGTTCTGAGGGGTTTGTAAAGCATACTTTAAAGAAGGAAAAACCCCAAGTGCTTCCACTTGAGAATGTTTCTTCAACTGCAGAATTTTGCAATTAGTCTGCACTTTGTTCCAGTGAAATTCTTCACCGTGTCATACCTTGGTTAGTTTTTACCTGAGCCACTTCTGATGCTGGAATTAAACGAGCGGCTTTGAGGCTCAGCCAGGTGTTGCTTAGAGGCTGCGGTGGGGTTTCTTGGCTGGGTGCACTCACGGCAGCCAGGTTTCGCCCTCAGTCACTTTGTGGAGCTCTGCTTACTACAGAGTAGGTGGTTGCTGTAACAGGGGCTGGTCTTCTCTGAGTGTGGATGTGCAAGGGAGAGGTCACGTTTTCTGAGATAATGACCGCTTTTGTGTCTTCAGAGGGAGTTGCGAGCTTTTCATCTCTCTAGGAAATCTCTGCGTCTTCATAAGCGTGATTTTCCTGTAAGCACAGAATTACCCTCATTGACCAGAAGATTAGGCACATAATGGAAATACACATTTAGGGGTTGTGCTGGGTCAAATATAGATTTAAGTGCCTAACTTTATATCCATACATCAGCGTGGCCATATCCTCCTGATTGTCTATTCAAGACTGGTAGCTGATAGGAGTTTTGGAAATGAATTCCCACACATGGGTTTTTCTTCATGCCTCTCCGATTAAGCTTTTGCACAAAAATAGCCAAACAGAAAAGAGATCTTGTTGTTCTTTGCTCCCCTCTGTGAATGATGTCTTCTGTATGGTTTTGTTACGTTTCTGTTAGTGTGAAATTAATTCTGCTTTTTTTTTTCCGCTCACAACAGCTATCCCATGTCCTTGCACCTCATTCCTTCTTCATCTTTGTGCCTCTCAGCTCAGACAAGTTCTCTCCTGCCTCCTGGGCTGTACAAAATGTTTGTAACTTGTGTAAAGACATTGTAATGATAGTGTAGGGCAATTACAGACTCAACTTGATAGGATAATAATGTGAGTGGTGGTTCGTGGACGAGCTTTTCACTCCTGGGGTTTGTCTGTTCAGATTGTGACTGCTGTTACAGTAGCTTGCGTCTGCACTCAGCTGTGCCGGTTCTTCAGTTGTGCGCTTACTGTCATTGTGTTCTGTTTGCACAGCGCTGCTTTCATCGTGGTGTGAGGAGCTGGGACGGCTCTTGCTGCTTCGCCACCAGAAAAGCCGGCAGAACGATCCTCCAGGGAAGCTACCCATGCAACCCCCCATGAACTCTATGAGCTCCATGAAACCCACCCTCTCTCATAGGTGAGTCTCAGCCCAGTCCGTAGGAGTGGCAGTCTGTACAGATGTACCACGTGACAGATCTGTTAATCGAAATGCTTATTACCATTGACGGACGTAGCTACACTGTTTCATGCACTGAACAGCATTACAGACAACAGGGGATCTGTAATTACAGCAAGTACTAAATAAACTCAGGTTTTGTCTTTGCTATTGCCTGGTGTGTAGTGAAGTGATGCTACCATCTTCAAATCTGTGCTCAGATCAAGTGGGCTTGCTTTCAAACTTCAAGTTGTGCCCTACAGATAAACTTCTACAACATGTCTCTCACCAGACATTTTCCTACTGTTTATTTAAATACAACTGGCTTTTCTTGAGGTTGAAAACATGTCACTGATGTTCTGTTTTGCAAGTTGTGTTGGAAATGTACTGTGTACGAAGCAACTGTATAGTGGGTGTAGCCATAGATGGGAGAATGACCTATACCACCTTGTATCAGTTGAGTATCATAAAGCACTTACGTTAACTTAGGCAAAACACAAGCATTAAAGGACCCTAGAAGAAGCTAAAGATGTGACACCTTTGATTACCACATTACATGGAAGAACAGCATCTGTGTATCTTGTCTGCAGAGCCTAGGTCAAAGCAAAGCTGAAAAATAAGTGTAGACAGGGTTGAACATTCATTTCATGCTTTAGAGTTTTTTTCAAGGCTTTCTTTTCCTCAGCATCACATTAAAGAAACCACAAATAGTATAAACTGGCTTTAGTGTAGGGCACTTCTGTTAGTAAAGGATTATAAGAGCTCTGATGAGGCTAAATTCCTTGTACCTAGATTCTATGGTAGCATAAGTAACTTGAACTTTTGTGTTTGAATGGAGTTTAGGGACACCAGTGCATTTGCATGTGTGAATTAGTCTGGAAACTGCTTTTGGGTTGGGTTTTTTTCTTTAATTTTGTTGTATTATTGGGAAAACCATACAAATGCTATATGTTTTATTATAGTCCTTGAGAATAAAGTCCTTTTTTGTAGTATAACTAATATAATATCACTGACTTTTCAGAGTACCTGGATTGCCTCTTTTTTCAGTTGGTTATGAAACGATCGATTGTAAACACACTTAAAAAAAACCCCAAACAAACAAACAAAACAAAACCAGGAAACCTTCTGTTCTAAAATAACTTATTTTTACACCTGGGAGCTTTGCAGAAGCCAAGGTGAAATTAGTGGCCAGTCTGCAGAGAAAGTGTGGTGCAGTGTGTATGCTCTCTTAGGTGTAGTTTTGTAGTTTTTAGATGCCTGATTCTCATCCGACCTTTTAGCCTCTGTTCCCCTGGAGTCTATAAAGTAAGGATGAAAGCACTGTTATATCTCACAGGGGCTGTGTGCTGTGTTACTAGATAAGATAGGCACAACTCTTTTCTTTCATAGCAATTTTCCACTGAAACTGTCTCGTGTCAAAAAATAAATACTTTCTTCTGCTAAACCTAAATACTAGCATTTCTGGCAGTATCGGGTTACCCAATATTCTACCTAATAGTAGAACATCCTGCCCAGTATCAAACAGTCCCTGTAAGTTTCTCTTGAGTATTGCCCTTGAAATGCTTTACTGAGGAAGACACCGTGAGTCAGTTCTAAATTACTGCTGTTTACCTATGAGATGCCTCTCTAGAAACATAATTTCTGTGGCATAACTTCTTATCTATAATAGCTGCAGCAGCCTCTTAGAGATTTGGAATATCTGCATCACCACTTCAGTGTGTACTGTTGTCTTGTCTGTAATTTAGCCATAACCATGACTGCTCAGAGTCTCTCAGGTGGTACATTAGAATGAGATGTTTTGTGGCTCTCCAACTTCTTTTTCCAACTGGAACTGTTTATTTTCATGGATGTTTTATAATCAATCTATAAGACAGTAGTGAAATAAGGGGTGAAGAAGAATTGAGTTTTCTGGTTGTTTGACTTAAACAAAAGATGAAAAGCCATTAAGTACAATCCCAGTGATAAAGCTGTTGATGAAGCAACATTTGTATTTGCATTAGATTACATTTGGGTCAAAAGCTTAGCATTAAAGGTCACAGTATCTTATCTCTAATTCACAAGGTTTTTGTCTGAATTCAAACAAAACAAAAAAAAAAAGTATGCTCTTCATTTGCTACAAGAAATTAATGTAGCCAGCTACTTCAGGTTTTGTAGAAGAATTAGATGTTAAATTAGAACAACCAAGAGCGTATTCAAGAACCTTACGTAGCTTAACAGAGGGAATGTAGGATATATATCAGCTGCTGAATATCAGTAGACAGAAAAAAAACCTTCCCCCGTCATCGGACTATCTTGAGTACTTCACACAGAGGGGTTTTTTGCTGTTTTTTTTTACTAGCAACAAAATTACCGAGAAATCTAGTCAGGGACTAGAATCCCGATGTACCTGGCACTGCAAAAATACAGCTGCTTAGTCTCAAAGTTGAAACGGGGGTCGGCTGTTAATACATTCTTGAGTCAGAATTTATTTACAAGAATCTAAATCTGAGGATTCATATTTAAGAAACTGTGGGCACATACACTGGAGGGAATTCAGGTCTGGCCTATTTTTAGGGACAATCTTTTATTTTTAAAAAGTTAATTGAGTTGTGGGAGAAGACTGAAGGAGGCAGATCAAGGAGGGCTTTGACACTGTTGGTCAAATGCAGATGGAGAGAGCAGAATATAAGCTATGCAAGGATGTGCACACATGCAACAAATGCTTTCAGAATAGGGACTGTATTGTGCTAATTTCTTTCTAAAATTAGTTTTTCATTAACGAACTGATCGAGTGTTGCATATGGAACAAAAATTCAGCTAAATACTACTTCCTAATGTAGGGCGGTTGGTTGGACTGCAAACTCCTGTGCTTTATGAACAGCATAACCACTAGATTCTCAGAAAAGAACCCCTCAACCTTATCATTTTTTTAAGTCAGTGCAGTGTAGTAACAGTTAGCTCAAACTTGAATGTGAGATTCATTGATTTTTTTTTTATTGTATTTTATTTTATTTTTAGACTTTACTGATTCATGTGGGTAAGCTTCACTCCTGTACTGAAAGACCATTATGAGACCTATCTACCTCCTTAATCCTGTATAACTTCTAATTTAAGTCCTACTTAAAGGATTTATGGGGGACTTAAGGAGAGGCAGTAGTCTTTGGGCTGGCCCTTCTGCATCAGAGTGAAATTTCATGCTTTCTAGCTTGCAGGGAGTAATGTTATTTCTTTGCGTTGTAGTTTTTGAATCCGGCATAATGTCTGTAGTAACAGGAACTACTCAAGATGGCTGATTTTTTACTTTTAAATGAATGTAAGGTCTTTGGCAAACGCTGTTATGTAATTACAAATTATTGTCATTATACACCTTCCTTTGCTTTGATCAAGTTTCTACTTTACACTTCATTGCATTAAGTGGTGGAACTCTACATGAGGATCATATTGACTCTTGGTTGATATCGGTACAGTTTGCATCAATCCCAGCGGGAATTTACACCCTAATTCAGTTTAAGGTGGAACTGACCCATGCAAGCTCTAGGGGGCTTCTCATTTCTTGCATACCTTGTAGTAAAGCTTACTTTATCAACAAAGACACCTGAAAATAGGCAACTGTTAGTTGCAGTTTGATATGTTGTCATGAGCATTTGTCAGGTTCTTACTGTCTTCTCTCTTGCTCCAAATTTTGTTCTTCTGTATTAATTGCAGTCTTGCAGTTAGAGACCAAAGGGTAGTAATGTCTGTGTAGGGCACTCAAGATTGATGAAATATATGAAGATAAAATTATTTTTATCAGAAATTACTTAGTGCCAGAGGTTTTGAGAAAATTGAACAGTAGATCAAATTAACTAGTAATTCAATAGTACGGTAGGTGCTTTATTTATTATCATTACTTGTTTATGTTCAGGCAATTGCCATAAATACTTTTTACTGGTTAGAGCTGCTTTACAAGGGTGCTTATTTTTAGTGTTTGTTTTGTCCCTTTTTTCTTCCAATTTAAACTTTACTAAGAGCTGAACTTTCAACATCGGTAGGAGCTCTTGGAAAAGAATGGCAATTCTGTGTTTGAATTTTTACTGGGTGGTTAGGATTGGCTCTTTCATTGTTTGTTAAGAATCAGGAATGATCTGGCTATAACGTACCAGTAGAAACCATGTCAGCGTTTCTGCAAAGGTTACTGCCTTTTCAATTTTGCCATCATAGGCGGTTTTGACCGACAGTGATAGTCACTTTAACAATGTCTGGATGAGAGAAATGGTTAAAGTGAAAGGTCAAGTGCAGCATATACACACTTTTATAAAAACAAGCGCGTTGTGCATGTTTTATACATCAGTTGGAAGTTGGGGATCACTTCATTACTGCATGTGGCTGTGGCGTACAGGAACAATCTTTGCAAAAGAATTCAAAACTCTTTAGGTGAAAGATAAGATTGTTTCAAAGCCTTTTCATCTTTCTGTTTGTGAAATTGTGAAATAAATATAATTAGGGACTGAACAGATGGTAAATCCTGATATAAGAGAATATACACAGTAAAGCTACCTGTATTAATTACTCCTGATTCTGCAAGAGCAGCCTCTCTTTTTCTTCTGTCTTCCTTTCTGTCTAGAAATGTTAAAATCCACCATCAGGAGAAAATAAGGGAAACGTTCAGAATCCAAAAATGTTTCTGCAGAAGTGCCATTTGTTAAAGAAAAAAAAAAGCGACAAGATTTGTTCAGAACAGTATTAAGGAAGGCCACTGTTGTTCTGAGCATTGTAAAGACAAAACTAATTGTTTAAAAATACTGTCCCAAGACTAGTTTGCCCATCTTGACCTCTAAGTGAAGCCACTGATACTAGTTTCAGCATATACACTTACTATGGGGAGGAGGTGGAAGGAAATCTTGAAAGAACGTTGAAGCTAAAAGCAAATGATTAGTACTCTTTAGTTGAAAACTGATAATGTGTAACCATTAGCTGTTAATAATTAAACCTGTAATATTTTCATGTGAAAAATCTGCATTTCA